ATCAAATTAACTTCACAAAGCGTGTTGACAATCTTGAAAATAAAGATTATTATTAAGTCTTCTAAGTCATTTGCACCTGCATCATGTTAAACGATTAAACTGTAATTTCCAGACTCATATTCTCTCTTATTTCCAAGTCACCAATAGTGCACTTCCTCATGTTTAAGCTCCATTTTATTTCTATGTCATTCTACAATTTACTAAAACCTTGCTAACACTTCATTGCTTCATGTCTGTGAGCCACCAACATACATTAAGAGCAATGAAGAAATACCAAGGGGACAGAAGACACATTCTTCACCATCACAGGACTTATAATTAAGCTGAGGAAACAAACATATACAAATGAAATAATAAAACCCCATCAGACTTGCCTAATTCTACAAGCAATATGCATTAGTGCCTCTTTTCTCATTTATTTTGTATAACCACCTTGTGATATAAGTGAGTAGGCATTCCTGCACTTTTCTTACACTGTGGAAACTGAGAGGCAGAGTAACCATTCCATAGTCTCACAACAAAATATGTCCTAAACAAGGCGTAAGAGTTCCAGTCATATAACAACTACTATAGTGCTTATGAACACATACAAGGCAACAAAAGAAAAACAATTTTAAACATATTAATATGCATGCATGTACATAAGTGAAGACGAAATATGGTGAAGATATTAATTAGAGCTGTTTGGGAATGATGCAGGAACTCTACCTAAAAGAGATATGTTGCAGAGAGTTGGATATTATATAATAGATGATAAACAGCCAATCTACAGGAACTGAATCAGAAAGACAGCCAAGAATGCATAAAATAGTGTGAGCGAAAAAAATGATAAACATTTGAATAAATCTAAATAAGTGCTAACAATTAAATAAAACAATAATATAATAATTAAAAGGGAAAGTTAAAAAATGTAGAACCAAAATACAAGACAATCATCATTTGAAGGATAGAAGGTGAACAGAAGTCCTTGAATTATTTACAAGAAAGGTAAAGAAACTTACAAATTTCTGAAATTTTTTAAGTCAAACAATGATGTGAAAAATGTAAGAGTAATCAATTAACAAAAAAACTTCCAAACCATTCTAAGGATTCCAGAAGATTAAAGAAAAATTCAATCAAAACCATGAATGAACAGAAGGAAAAAAATAAAACAGAGAAAAGCTAGGAAAAAGTATTTAAAAATAGAAAATAGAATGTCCTAAGTAAATCAAAATGTAATTAATCAAAATAAATGTAAATAGATTAAACTTGCCTGTCAAAGAGACTTTCAAAATCTATATACTACTTATAAAATAATAACCTAGAATGATATAAAATAAAAGGATAGAAATATACATCCCAAAAACTATACAAAAACTAATTTAGCTATAATAGTATCAAGAAAACTAATAGTATCAAGAAACTTATGCAAAAAAGTATCATTAGGGGCAAGGAAAGTTAGAAAATAATGTTGAAGAAACCTCCCAGAAAGTGTAACAAAAAGATAAAGGATTTTAAAATATAATAGGGGAGAACAAAAAGGATAGGTTCAATATCTGAATAAAAAGAGTTGCAGAAAGAGAAAGTGGAGAAAAGGTGGGGAGGGGTGGAGAAAATCATCATAGGAAAAAAGTCAAAACAGAACATGTGCTTTTCTAAATTAAGAAAAGCCACCCAGTCAACACCCATCAAAATGGATGAAAATGGACCCACATTGAGGCACAATATCAGAAAGTTTCGGAATCCAAAGACAGAGAAGATACATGAAATTTTCAGTGAGAGAAAACATGTCACATGTAAAGGATCAGAAATCAAAATGGCTTCCAGTTCCTTAACAGATTTATAGGAAGAGAGAGTGCAATGGCACTATGTCATTCAAAATTCTGAAGAAAAATTATCTCTAGCCTAGAATATTATATTAATAGCTATCACAACTATCAATCAAGAGGGAGGGTAGAGTGAAGAGAGGTTCATTTAAGATAATGTTGTTGACAGAATATCTGTTGCATCAATGTAATGAGGGGAGAGTTAGACAATTGGCAGAGAGCTAGTGGTTGAATTAGTGATAAGTACATAAAAAACTAAGCAAATTATATAATAAAACCAGACTGACATTACCTCATAGGAAAATGGAAAGTGCAGAAAAGGAAAAATAATCACAGTATGCTGCAAGTTTCAGCTATAAAGAGGATATTGGTAGGAATAATAATATAATAAATATTTATTAAACCAAAGGATGACATAGCTATATTGTAAGAATGAGGTGATGGAAATGGTGCATGTAAATAATGACAGCAGGTATACAAGGAAGCTAAAACCTCATCTTGCACAGCGAGAAATCAAAGACAAAACCTAAAACCAAAAACCAAGAGGCAGGTATATAATCAGGTTTGGTTATAGCATGAAGCAAATAAGAAAAGAATTCCTTAAAAAACCAAAAGTGGTTGCCTCTAGACTCTGCTCTTTTTTAAAAGGAGATGTTATTGCCAGCTATTCTTCATAGAGGGTTTATCATTTTATCCTCCCTTGAGCAGTGCCTTGCCCCACTCCCTGCTTTTCAGTCCACTGTGAGGAGCAGATGCCAAACCAGGGTTATTTGTGCAAGAAGTTTACTGAGATAAATGCCTAGGAAGGATATAAAGGGGAGGAGAGGGGCAGGGAAGCCTTCAGACCACAATGCAGCCCTGACACTTGGGAAAGAGGGAAGACTTGGGTAGAAAGAGGCAGCTGACCTCAGCACAGCCAGTTGCCAGTCACGTAACAAAAGGAGCAGGTGTAGATCATTTACAGTGTTCCCACCACTCTCAGTCACTGACTGGGAACAGCCTGGGGGAAAGGTTGCTTCAGCATGTGAGTGATAGCAGATCAGAAAATCCCACAGCCCTCAGTTAACTGCCTTCAAAGGTGTGCTGGTAAAGGCTTTGATTTGTAGTATTTGGTACTTTCTGTGATTGTAAATATTATAGCCACAGACAATTTCAAGGTGCCAATGTGCTACAACTAAATGCTGACTTTGGAAGAGATGCTGATACTGGGCTTTCCCAAGTCAGACTCAGGACATCACTGACTGTGCTCCATACAGCAAGTTTTTCATAAAGGGAGATTTGAGCAGTGCACCTCCTTAGCCACCATACTCACCACCCTAGTGTCTTAACATAGTTTTTATCTTTGTAGTGTAATAAATGAAAGTGGTATTTCAGTGTAGTTTTACTTTGTCTTTTCCTTAACATGAGTGAGGTTGCAGACCTTTCAATATATGTATATATTATTATATAATTATGTATGTATTTATAATTATAAATGCACTTATTATATAATATGTTTAATGTATATTCTTTTCTATGAATTGAGCCAATATTTTGATTATTGATTTTATTTTTTTAATCGACAGACATAATTGCATGTATTTACCATGTACAACACATTGTTTTAAAGTATATATACATTGTGGAATGACTAAATCTAGCTAATTAACATATGCATTACCTCACATAGTTATCATTCTTGTTGTGAGAATACTTCATATCCACTTCCTTAGCATTTTTCAAGAATACAGTATATAGCTAACTCTAGTCACCTTGTTATACTATAGATCTCTTCAACTTATTCCTCCTATTTAACAGAAATTTTGTATCCTTTGATCAACATTTCCCCAAACCTCCCCAATCACTCCAGCCCCTAGTAACCATCATTCTATTCTCTGTCTCTATGAGATCAACTTTTTAAGATTCCATGAGTGACAATTTTTATTAAAATCTTTGATAATTTTTATTAAACTCTTTATGCCTATGTTATAAATAACCAAAATCTTAACATGTTAAAGTGATAATCCATATAGTATGTGAAATATATTGTTTATTGTTCCCTTATCATATGATTAGCATTTTTAAAATTAACTCCTTCTTACCCTCTTCCAAAAGATAAATTTGAAAGAAATAAATGTACCCTTATAAGTGTGATATATGTAGAACCTAAAATTAGAAAACAAATTATTAGTATTCCTTTCCCCCATAATTTTTAAAGTAGCAATTATATGTACAGTATCAAAATATAATGTCTACATTTAACTTTTGGGGAAATGATGTTTGTAATACGGTTACAGTTGATTGAATGTACACATTTTATGGAAAAAGTCACTGAAGAAAATTCCATCTATCTCCCAACACACAGAATCACAGCAACAATAACAAGGTAGTAAAGAATTTTCTATCTGAACAGTCTACAGAGTATAATATTTAGGAAAATTAAGTTAGTAACATTATCATTGTGAACACATTTTAATAATAGGTATATTCTATATAGATTCATTTATATATTAATAATTGAAATTATTGGTTCTATCCTATTAGCGTGATGTAGCAACTTGAAAATCATCTACTATTAAGTCAGAGGCTACGAAGTGGTCTTTTTAAGATATTACACATTTTAAATGTTCCTATTACAGGTACACAGATAACCCTGAAGGACCAGAACCTTGAACTAGACCAAGTCATTCTACCCACAAATGTACTCAGACAAAATTTAAAGCAAAAGCTTATGAGGAAAACACCAAAGTGGCAAAAATTTAAGAACAGCTCTTCCACAAAAGTTTCTTCATCTTTATGTTAACTCTTGTACTGCTGCCAGATATATCTGGAAGAGAAGAGTCAGAAGATCTAGAGATGCATAAAATTTTTAAATTCTGCAGTTTTTCAAAGAAAATACATCTCTTTCATCATTTTTCAATCAACTATCTAGTAAACTGCATTTGACTCCAAAGGCTTTTCTTCTCCACCTCTTCCAACCACAACTTCCAACCACAGCCATTTTCTCAGTAATCAGCATTTTCAAGGAAAAGAGGTGGATAAAAATTAATTTAAGACAATCAAGTGCGGTAACTTATCGCAAGTGTTTATTTAGTAGGGTGAAGGTTGAAAGTGGTGGCTGAAAAGAAATTTGGATTATACGTGCATCCTCTTTAGCCTGAGGTTTTCAGAACTCATGATCCACAGTACTCCAAAGCACAAAACCAAAAAACTTACCTCATCCACATTTTCAAAGGCATTGATGATGTCATAAGGTAAACAAGACAGCAGATCGATCACAAACCAAGTTTTCAGATAGTTCATCCTTATGAGCTTAGGGTCCGAAATGACCTCTCCACCAGGCCCCACAAAAGTCGTGTGAAAATTTAAAACGATATCAACCAGAAAAATAACGTCCACCACGCTGTCCAGCACCAGCCAGGCTATGTTGTTCTGCTTCGTTTTGAAGGAGACATTATAAGGAACCATGATGGCGGTGTAGAAGGTAAGAATTAAAATCACCCAATCCCAAGTAGTTTTAAAAGCACAATAGTGTAAAATAATGTGTGGTGGCGTCTTTGGCGCTTCTTGTTTGTACTGAGGAAGGATATCCGATCCCAGCTGAAGAACCTAAAAGAGAGAAAATGTGTGTATAAATGACCTGGACATCTCTGCACAGGTAGTGATGAATTCAAACTTATTGGCAATCAAACTACAGCCTATTTAGCATGACTTGGTTTCAAGGCCAGTCATGCTCTATAGTTTTGTCTCCCTCTTCTCTTAAGTTTTCCTAAAGTTTGTTCAAAGGAAGTCACTCCAAGTCCAATCACTCTGCCAAGGGTGACCCGTCTGCTGTTCCAGCTGGCTTGCTGTGTGGCAGTGGCCAGCACTGATCCCCAACACTGCTGCATGTCCACTTCTGAGAGTGTCTTCTGCACACTCCCTCTGCAAGCTGCCTAGAATCACGTCTTTCATGCATCGTCCACCGGTTATTTGGGCGACTCACTGTTATTAACTATTCACACATATTAAGTGCCTCAAAGAATACAAATACAACTTTGATTCTGATGGCCTCGCTGAACCCCAGCATCCCACGGTTGATGATCTTGCTGTTGAGTGACACCTAGCCAGGACCCTGGTAATGGCACTGCAGTGCACAGGGTAGCAGATGTCATAGCCTGCTTTTGCCTTTCCTCCCTTAAATCAGGACTTAAAGAATATTGTGTTTCCTGCCCAGATGCAAATTCCCTTCAGGGAAAAAAAATGCTAAATACTCAGGTTTGCTTCTATATACCTTTTTGAAAAATAGAAAAAAATTCAGTACAAGGTTATAATGACTTACTCTGACTAGGCTTAATTACCATAAGAGACAATGAGAAAAAGCAGATGACAAAGCAAGAGTAGAAGTTTGGGCACCCCTGAACAAAGGTAACAAACATAGGACTTAACGCTGCCTTCTGGAACCTACAGCCTGGAAATTCTGAAAAAGAGTTGAAGGAGCAGATCAAAAACCTCTGCACCAGGCCATCAATGAAGCTAAAGACAACGAATGGGTTAAAGAGGTTGGTAAATCGGAATTTCTTAAATAATGTTTCCAACAGCTTCTCCCATCTTATGAAACCAATTATTCAGTGTCTCTAGGACTAATGCCTGGAAGGTAGGAGTCAAGAAGTTCAAATCATAAAATCATAAATGTATTAAACATTTGCATGTAGGAATAGATAAAAACAAAAATACTTGCTAGCATGCAACGCTGTGAATTATATGCCACAAAGCAAAACAAATACACTAGCATCTTTTGAAACTTGGGACAGGATTGTAAAGTTTCTCTCCTACGTAGAAGTTATGTATCTAAAAACTAAGTATATAATATCTGTTATTACTATTTACAACATGAAAAATATCACTGGTATTCTCTTTAGTTATGTGTTAAAATTATTATTTTTATGCAGTGGATTATAAGAACTATTTTTAAAGATATTTTATGTATTTACCCACATTACCAGACATATTTTGTGCGCCAGACATATTTTTCCTATAAGGTCTTGGATTACTTAGCAGCAAATTATCCCATTAGAAATGTAAGCCTCATGTTACAGGGACTATTATATACACAGAATTGTACATAATCATGCCTTTTCTTTCACCTTTCAACCACTGGCCTATCAGTTCCAATTTCACTGTATTAAACATGAAAATTTCCTTCCTATTCAATGTTAGTATTTTTCTATCTAGATCAGCACAGCCTATAGAACAAGCACAAAGAAATCAGACTTGAGAAATAAGAACAAACTCAGTGCCAAGGTACACTATCACCTTCATGGGTCTTAAGCCTGTCTGCCTTCCTGGACCCCACCCACCTATTAAAAAAGTAAATAAAAATTATATTTTATAACAGCATTTCTACAAAGATGAATATATTAATATCACACATTCAACTTTTGTTTTTAACTGAAAGTTCATTATTTTCTCCTGTTGTTAATGGAAACTGAAACATACCGTGAGCCCCTAAAAGTGTTGTAGGCCTTAGACACTGTGCCTAGTATGCTAAGGAATAGGTCCACCCTGCTGAATACCCTGGAATAATTAAGTCTTCTCCTCTAGAGATAGAATAGGGTTACTCCCAAGTTCTTTACTTCTTAAATCAGGCTACACATTAGAATCACCTGGTGATATTTTAAGACATACAATGTACTGGTACCTAGACCCCCCCCCCAGAATGATTAAATTGGTCTCCAGATCTCGAAGAATCCCTATTTTCAAAACCTCTCCAAGTGATTATAATGTGCAACCCAAAGTAAGATCCTTGTCTTATATTTCTTTAGACATTCAGGCCCCAAGTCTTCAGACAGTAACTTGCATCAAAAGTGCTCAATGAGGGAAAGAATCAGAAGGAAGAAGAGGAGGAAGAAGATAGCAACAAAAACAAAAAAAGGTGCACAATTGTTTAGGCTTTGATCTTTCTCTTATGTAAAGCACTACTTTAATCTTAGCCCTCTCACTAGGCTCCTTTATACAGCAGTGAGTAACTAGTCTTCACTTTCATTGTTATTTCATTTGCACTTTCATAAGCAATAAGCCTTAGGAGGAGAGAGGATGAAATCACATTTTCTGATGTATTTTTGTACCAATACAGACGCATTCTTCCTCTCTGAAGATCTGAGAGCATTGATGCTAAGGAGGTCAGGCCCACTGACTGACGTGATGGCGGTGTGTGTATTTATCTCCACTCGGCATAAAAGCGAGCAAGCTGCAGAAAATCAGCAGGATGTCAATGCATGTGGAAAATTAATTAACTGCCTACATGAAGACCGGAATCTTTGAAACTGGGGATCAGGTCCAAATTTGAGGGATCAGCTCTAAATTTAGGGGATCCAGAATTGAGATCAAATTTATGTGTCTTGGAAAAAGTGAAAGAGCCTAAAATTCCTCAGCAACACCAGATACCTGAGTTGAGCAGATTATTAATATATGAGCCTTTGAGTACAAGTGGAAAAACAATATTCTTGTGCTTGGTGTTTCTTTTGGGTCTGTCTTTAGATCTAAGAGCACATACTGCAGGTATGCAGTATAAATCTTTTTGAAAACCTTCTTATTTCTGCATGCTCTCTGAAAGCAAGCCTAAGCCCTGATAGAAAGCAGTTTTGTATTGGAGTCAAGTTTATGAATTAGAGATGACTGATAACGAAACTAGCAATAATCACAAAACAAAGCAAAAAAAAAATCAGATGGGAAGAAACAGGAATACAAGTTTCATAAAAATAAAAATGATGAAATGTCAAGGCTAAAGAAATGTTTCCCTTGACAGAAGGAACAATCTTGAGTGATTTGGGTGCCTACGGTAGAGGATTTTCCTCTCTCTGGCCCCCTCCCTCTTGTTCTTACACTAGTGTGTAGCAGAGAGAAGAAAAACTCTGAATAAGGTGTAGTTAAGGCCCAAAAGGAATCATGACTATAAAAGTCAACAGTCACAGAAACAAGCTCCTACACTTCAGCTTGATTTGTGTGGACTTTAGAAATGGAAAATTCAAGGCAGAAGAGAAAGTAGCTCCAAAATCAAGTAGTACTTAATAAGCATTATTGAAAAAGGAAGTTGTATCTACTGGTCTACTTAAAATCTTAATGCTAGTTGCATATCATATGTTAAAATATGGTGATTATTGTTAGTTAATATTTAACAATGTTAATGTCTTATTTTGGTTTTTAAAAACATGCCTATACATGAAAGTATTAATCTTTCCCCAAGCTAACAGTGCTATTTAGAGCAGAAAACTATAACAAGTCCCTTTGATAGCTATGGGCTTAAGAAAAACTCCAGAGTTCTCCAAACTCAGGGAATGCACTTTATTCCCTAATCCTTTCCAAACCAGATTTAATATTTACAAGTAGTTATGAAAGTTACTCTGGTGTGCTTCAACTTACTTTTCTCCAGCAGAGCAAATTGACTGATGAACCTATGGATCTGATGTTATCTTTCTCTTTTTTGGTAAGTTATCTCAGAACATTTTTGTGAATCCCACCAAGTGCTCAGTACAATTTCGGAAGCTTAATTGGTTTTTTGGCATCTTTCATACTAGTAATACAAATGATGATTATAGAAGATAAAGCTTTTGGCTGCTTTAAAGTTCTGTCCTCATTCCTTTTCTCTTTGGCCTCAGGGTAACATTGTCTAGTCCTATGACTTCAACAGCCATATCTATGAGGGTGACACTGAAGTTTAAACTCAAACCCAAATATCCCTCCTCAGTGCCCGACCCATAAATCCCACCATCTTTTAGGTATCTTCACTAGGATTTCTGATCAGGCTCTTCAGACATAATATGTGCAAAACTGAACACATTATCATTGTCCCCAAACCTTCTCTTCCTCCTCTTTTATTTGCCATTTTAATAAGCAACAGCACTATCTACCAGTTGTATAAACCAAAAACATAGAGTTGTCCTCATCCCATCTGTTTGTTTCACACTCTATTCTAATCTATCAACAAATGTGTTGACTCTAATCTTGATGTATCTGCAGTTTGCCCACCACTGCTCCCACTACCTTGCCTAAGGCTCTGGTGTTTCTAGATAAATTACTACGAGGACTTCTTGCCTGGTTTCCTTCCCTCCCGATTCTCTACAGAGCCACTAGTTCAAGCAAGGGTTCTTAATCATTTTGTGCCTTGGATCCCTTGGGCAATCTGGTAAAACCTGTGGACCTCTTCTTAGAATAATATTTCAAATTCATACAATAAAAACATAAGATTATAAAAAAAAACCCGATCAGGACCAACCTCCCTTTGAGAGGTTTTTCTAAGGCACAAATGTGATCATGTCAATCCCTGGCACATGAGACCCCAACCACCACCATCTCACTATATGCCATCTAACAGTTTCCTCCCCACCTGAATTCAACCATACTGAAGTCATACTCAAAGACACCACGCTATCTCATTTCTGAGCCTTTGCACACGCTGGCCCCCCGATAGGAATGACCTCCATCCCTTCTTTACCCACCTAACTCTTATGTTTTTTCTTCCAGGTTCACTCAGCCCAGGAATTACCTCATTCAAGTAGCCTTCCCTAAGGCCCCAGGTCTTGGCAAATGCTCCAGCATGGGTTCCCACTGCACCCTGTCATAGTATTTTCACATCCTATAATAAGTGTCTGCTGCTGACCGGGCCCATTTCTTATTCATCTTTACCTCTTTTGCAGAGTGCCAAGCATAGAGTAAACCCTCTAAAAGTAGTCTGATACATACAAAAATGAAGAAATGAATGAACTCTCCATCTCATTTGTTCAAAGGAAACCTCATACTCTGCAGAGATCACCTGGGATGTCACGAACTACGTTCTCACTTTACAAGTTGGAGAGAATAAAAATAAATCCTCGGGATCTCTATTAAATATATTTATACAAAGGAACAATAAATCATCAGCTAAGTATTTGCAAAATTATAGCCAGAAATATATATAATGAATCACTTTTGGAAAAAAAATACCACCACCACCCTCTTGGGAAGCAAAGTTAGTCTCACACTTACTTCAGCTAATCTTGAATGTTTGTGGACCACCTCTGTTTTATTCATTGGCGTGAGCTGCTGCAAAACACTTCGGCTATTTGTCAAAGCCCTTGTTAATCGAGCAAATTTTGTCCAACCTTAAAAATAAGGAAAGAAAGTCTCAGTTTTTCATACATAATGAAAAAGGAATACAACAGCTTGCTAATATTCAAAGGATCGTAGCAACCATATAATATCTAGAATGAACACAAGGTATCAACTTAAAGCATTTTCTCTCAATATAGCCATCATCGTATGTTTGAAGTGTGGCTATAAAATAATGAGCAATATTTATGTGTGAGCTTTTTGCTTTGCTCATGTCTTTTACACAGTCCCCACAGTCAAGGCAACTGGTTGTCCAAAAAATTCTGCACTACCCTTCACAGTGTGTGGGTTTGTTAATAGGAAACATCTGCCCAGCCAGAAATACATTACCCATCATTCTTTGCATCTAGGTGTGGCCCATGTCCCAGTTTTCACCAGTGGAATATAAGCAGAAGTGATGTGTGTCACTTCCATGCCTCAACTTAAGAAGCAAGTGTGAGTTCTCCATACTTTCTCCTTCTTTCTACCAGCTGGGTGGAAATGACAAGGTCCAAGGGTATAGAAAAGCCACCAAACCACTGTGTGGAAAAATGCCATATGCCGCCAGGATCACTTGCCTTGGACTGCTATATGAGCAAGAAATACGCTTCTATTATGTTAAGCCACTAAAAGTTGGGAGTTATTTGTCATAGCAACTAGTATTACCCTAATAAAAAATAGTCCTACTATGTATTTGTTTGTAGATGTACACACATAAGAGAATAAATACAAATGTCAATAAATCTCACATGATTCATATCACATATTTCCACCTTCCTTGAAACACAGCAAAATGTTATTTCTTGCCTGTTAAAAACTGCAGTGATATCTAAAAATTATTTTTGGAATATCTAGAATCTTAATAATGTTTTCTGAGGGAACAGTAACTTCTGGGAGAAGGAAATGTGAATTTAATGGGAAAGAAATTTCTTCTGGGGCCTCAAAGTGCCATTATTAAAATTGTTAATTTCAAGGAAATGTCAACGAGATATGAACAAATAGAACAAAAGTAATCACACTCTGATCCTTTCTCAATTATCCCTCCTCTAGGTATCTCAAAAGCTCTGCTACATTAAAGATTTTATTATAACTCTTTGATAATTTCTGCAGTATTACCTTTCACTAGAGTATTTACCAAACCACTCTTTAAAAGGAAAAACCCCCAATGGTCCAAAGGAATGACTCTCATAGCAATGACGGAAGACAAAAGATGAAGGAAGAAATCCTGGGCATACACCAGCCTGCTGCTATTCATCAAAACATACAATGCAGGTGACACCATATTCTTTGGGTTAATTCTGATTTCATTTAAGCTTTGTATTGTCCCACCAACTCAGCTCCCTCTCTGTGTTCAATAATTGTATTGGAAAAGAAGTAAACTGGCATCCATTGATAGAAAGTCCTTTTTATTTCTTCTTCATTAGTGGACCTCATCCTAGTAACTAGAATTAAAAAAAAAGTGAGGTTTTGGGAACTGTATGCAACCCTGAGGCTTACCCTGTGCAATGTGCTGGAGAAACAAAAGAGCACCAGACATGCCACCAACTCTCTAAAAACTCAACATCAATGTAAAACGCCAGCATGCAATCTCTATGACCACCTTAGACTTTTCTTCTGAGCTCCAGACCTGTGTGTCCAATTCACCACTGGCTACCTCTTACTAAGATGTTCTATAGGCGTCTATTAATAACACTTAACATGTCCAAAATTAATCTCATCATCAACTCCTTCTCTTATCCTCAACCCTGTATCATTCATGCATTACTGATTTGGGTAAAATGGCCCTGTGATAGTTCTAATTGCCCAAATCAGAAACTTGAAATTCATCATCCTCCTCTCACTAGTACCCCCCCACACACACACACACTCAATCACTTCTAAGCCTTAAAGGTTGTAACATATCAATAAATAGCCCTCAAATTGAGTCTCCTCTCTGCATCAGTATTGTGTCAGATAATATATCATCTTTCACATGAGGTAGGCGGCAGCATCCTAAAGACTGCATCCCACATTACTCGCAAAGTTCTTTCTAAAGCACAAATCCGACCGTGCCTTGCCCCTATTACAAACCTTTAACAGCAACATGGAGGCCTCCAGGATAACACTGTATATAGGTTGTTTAGTTTCTTACCCCAAAGATTTGCTCTGTATCCATCTCCTACCACTTTCTTATGTATGCTCTGTATTCCAGCCTTATTCAAACCATTAGCAAATGAAATGAAGAATAAATTCAAAACTAAAATTAAACCTACTAAGAATTCTTTGTACATCCTATGATGGTTCATGTTTTCATATTTTCATTTTATAATCATTCTGCCTGCCCTGAAATGTCTTTTCCCTCCCTCATCTGTCTGGCTATACTTACCGGTACCTGCAGACTCATCTAGAGCAGTACCACTTTCTGTAAGCTTCTTTGATCGACCCATAAAAGAGAGGTGCCCACCTCTGTACATTCCACCATGGGGTACGTACCTCACACAGCACTAACAACACTAATGCAATTATTGATTAACACATTAGTCACTCTATTTTTCGTCTCTCTATTCTCTGCACTTAGTATAGGGCCTGGCATAAAATAGGGCATAATGTAATAAAGATATAAATTTTATTTGTAAGTTTAAAAATCAGATTTAACTATAAACCCCATTTTGTTCCATCATCACTGGTTTTTGGTTTGGTTTTGCTTTGTCAGGTAAAAGTGGTAATGATATCTTCAGATGACAGTAACTATATTAGCCCACAATTATATTAACATTTTCCCTGGTGATAACTTCCTTATCTTATATCAATGGAATATTATAATTGTCTTGACTATTTCTAGAAACTTCCAAGTTGATCTTTTACTTACTGAAGGTTCATATTTCTAAAATAGGTAATGTACCCCTTCATACATCCCAGTTGGACTAAAAAATAAGCCCATTTTCATTCCCTGTGTGCAAAAAGGTTTACCCAGAAAATATTTTGAGAAAAATTAAAGGAGATATTGAAGGAATAAAATTAATAATGTGTGAAAGAATACAAAATGAACAAATGGCATGTGTTCTCCAATTTCATAGTATCATACAGGGAAGTAAACATGTGAACAAGGAGAAATATGACAGTGAAAGCTTACTGTCACCCTCCGGTTTTCTATTTGAAGCGTCATGAGCACATATTGCCATTTCTTAACGAAGAAACAATAATTCCTAATTTAAATACCAAACAGAAGCTTGTTCAAACGTTTGTATATTTGGGTATCTTATTTTATACATAAATTCAATATAATCAAGGAATATTTCATCCCTTTACTTTACCTTATTTTAATTTCCTAGAAGAAAAAAGTGTTAAAACAGCAAAAATAAAATACATGCATTTTTCTCTATGAGCAAAAACAGGACTATCATCGATTAAATAACAGAAAAAAAAACTGAAAGAAAAATATAATATGAATTCGTCATCCTAATAGTGTTTTTAATCAGTATGTTCTATAAGACTACCCTTAAACATAGATGAACAGGGAATTTACCACATGATATGACTTTTGGGTGCCATATCTTATCCTTTCTAACCCTGGCTGTCTAATACCATGGCTGGCACATAATGGGAAATATATCTGTTTTTCTTAAAAGAATGAGTGAATGAATGAATGAGGAAATGAGTCAAAAAGTTAAACAGGAATTAACACAGCATCTGCATTATATGCAAATTTTAAAAATTAAAATATAAAGAAGGAAGTACACTCAGCTCATAGCAGGTGTTAACATAATACACAACATCAAAGAAGGCTTTAGGCTGGAGAAGGTGGGAAAGGTGTGTTGAGGGGGTTGGAGAGGGAGCCCTGGAAACACTGAGAACTATAATTCTGCCTTCAGAAAGAGAACCGGGAACTGACTCAGACATACTAGAACAGAGAGATTTAGGAGAAAAGACTTGGAAAGGATTCTTTCTTACTAGAGAAATCAAAGCCAAAGGCAGGTGTAAAATTGAGACATCATTTATGAGTTTTGCAATTAAAATGTCCTAAAAGATGGAGAACCATTTGCAAAGCCAAGGACTATTTTATTTCACATTTAAATCAAAGGGAGCACTCAAAGATGAGCTCCCTGAGCTGCTCAGGAATCCTTTTATCTGTTTCTGGTCAGGGCTTTCTTGCAGTCCCTCATTCCAAACAGCATTTTTCTCAAGACACGTATACTAACCCTGCTCCCCTTACTCTCAGCACATAACCCTGCCAAATTCTTTGCTGAACAAAAACAGACACCATAAGAAACACAACGGCCTTCAACTTCCCTTCTCTCCCCTCCACCTCCAGACTGAACCACTATGGCTCCTGGTTCTTCCCTGCACGTCTGTCTTCACAGAGAATTAAGTATTTGTTCTTTCCTGATCACGCATATATTCCACTCATGCCCACGGAAGAAGTTTCTAGATTTTCCCTATCACTAATAATGCCACACCGAATTTCCGTATACTAATCCCTTTGTGCTCTTGAACACATCTGGAAGAATTGCCTGCGTTATTAGCTGAATTTGTTCATTTGATCTCTCATCCACTTTTACTGTACAGACTTTGAAAAAGTTTTGAAAAAGTTGAGCAGCCACACTGTCTAGGTCAGAGAAAAAAGATGCATCAGCAGTTCTCACTTTTCCCAGTGATACATTTACTGATCTCACCTTTACAGAGACCTAACTGGTGTTAGGTGATTATTCAGCAAAGTTCGCTGATGTTACTCAGATGTGGTCGATATAGGGTAATGTGAACAGACAGCTGAATATGAAGAGCCTAATCCTTGCTCTGTAAGTTGTTCGTGGCATTATGAGAACATTTGTTCTCCTAAAAGCTCAAGATGCCAACTCCTTCTTAATAAAACATTAGTTTAGCTCTATTGGGTTGCAATTAACCTCTTTGTCATGGACTGCTTAATCTTAAAAATAAAAGGAAGTCACAGAGGCAGTTAAATCAATCTACTAGGCTGCAACACAAGATTCTAATCTATAAGAAAAAAGCTTAGGTAAACAATTATACTCTTGGTCAA